AAAAAACAGTAGCAAGCTAAAATGTAGCACCATATTAATAAGATGATAAATCATGACCAAGTGGGAGTAGCACAGAAATGCAAAGGTGATTCAACTCAGAAAAATCAATCGATGTAATGTACCACATTAGCAGAATGAAGGCAAAAAACACATGATCATCTCAGTCGACAGAAAAAGCAAAAAAAAAAAAAAAAAAAAAACACAGCTTTAACAATTTATGTGTAAAACCAAAGAGAATATCATATATAGACTGAAACCCCCCACTTTTAAAAGCAAGGCGAGGGACCTGAACTGTCCCCACATCCACTGCTCTCTAAAGTCTGTTGGAACACAGCTGTGCCTTTGGACACATAATGCCTTGGCTTGTTTTCTTTACTGTCACAGAGTTGAACATAGTGACTTGTAATCTGGCCCACAAAATCTAAGAAGTTTGTTGGCCCTGCCACGTGCTAGATGAAGATGAGGAAGAGCAGGCTGTGGGGGCAGAAACTTGGAACGTTTATTATAGGTCAGGCTGTGACTGCCACATGTAATATCCTATAGTTTTTTAACCTGACCACACTGAAGCATGAAGAAACTGAGGAATGTAACAGAGCTTGCTGCTGGGAAGAAAGAGAGAGTACGTTTCAGTGAATGACTAGTAGCTTTGGTCACAGTTCTGTTTTTCATAATCACTCCAACCAGAGCTACAGTATGCACCCATAGCAATGGTGCATGGTACAGAAGAGGACTTAGGAAAGAGAATGAACTGCACACACACAATCAACAGAGATAAACTTTAAGAAGCTATTTTAGTTTTCATAAAAATCAAGAGCAACAATGGTAAAGAACGTTCTTAAACCAAATACATACATGCCAAAGCTATAGAGAACAGAAAAGTAAATAGTAATCAAAATAATGCTTGACCCTGAGGAACAAAGAAATCTGTCTGGGGAAAGAAATTAGAGGGGCCCTAACCACCATTGCTGCCTCTTGATCTGGGTAAATGTTATGGGAGCATGCATGCATGCATGCATACATAAATACATATTATATGTTTTTCTCAAGCTAAACAACATAGGATACAATTCCCATGTTTTTAACAAAGAGCCCAGAAGCAGAAAGTTCTTAATCTTTGAACACTATGAAAAAAATATCAGAAATGTTGACTATACCTGGCTCTTTTCCTTTTGGACCGCAAACCAGCTCACAAATCATGATACGGAGACTTATTATTAGTGTTGAATATTTAACCTTGCTTAGGCATGTTTCTGGCTAGCACTTTTAACCTGTTTCTCTTCATCAACTCTTGCCTCAGGGCTTTTCTCATTGTCTTTCTTTCTGTCTCTATGTCTGCCTGGCCTCTAGCCCTGGGCATCTCCCTTGTTCTCTCTTCTTCCTCTCCTTTCTCTTCATCCTAGATTTTCCTCCTATTCATTTTCTCTGCCCACCAGCCCTGCATCTTTTCTCTGTCTAGTTATTAGCCATTCAGCTTTTTAACAGACCAATCAGGTGCCTTAGTCAGGCAAGATGAAACAGATCCAACTCATCTTTACATAATATAACACACATCCTTACACCCTTAAACAAATGCAGCACAAATAAATGTAACACCACTTTACACAGTTAAAGTAATATTCCACAACATAAACAACTGTAATACACCTTTTCACAGTTAAAGTAATATTCCAGAGCATAAACAAATGTAACACACCTTTACACAGTTAAATAAATATTCCACAACAGTTGACTAAGGGATGGGCAGACAAACTCAGCTACATATAAGTAGTAAGTAGTCCCATACATATTTATACACAAAAATATAGGTATGTTCACACATGAATAAACACATGCGTTTATATAGAAACTTGCTTAGCCTATTAGCATTCTTCCTAGAACTGAGGTTTTTTAAAAAACTAAATAAATAAATAAACATCTTTGTAAGCATTTGTGTTTATAATTGTAAAGGTTTGTGTATTTCTGTGACTACATAAAGCTTTATCGTTGCTAACACACTTAATATTAAATCAGAATTTATCAAAGGAATAGATGTAGTTAAAAACTAACGTGTCTTTTGAAAATGTAAGTTTTAAAAAACTTTGAAAGTTAAAAGAGAAAAGTAAATGTGACCTATACCTGAGAGGCAACATTCTTGACCTTTTTGGGATCCATACCCTTCAGAATTTGATGAAAGTTACAGCCCTTCTCCCCACATATATATATATATGCAAATTGTTATGCCTCCTTTTCCAAGGAATCCATATATTCCTGAAATACATTCTTGAAGTGGGGAAGTCCCCTGCCCTGGATCCTCTGAAAGTCCCTTTCTTCAGGTTCACTGTATCAAATATCACTTGTCAGAACCAACTTTTAACAGAAGTATCAAAACAAAAAGACTAATGTTTTGTTCTAAAGTAGGAACTAAAGGATAATCATCATCTTTCCCTATCAGAATGTCCTCTTCCCTCTGTGCTCACCCACAAACCTCTTCGGTTGCTTCCCCCTGCCTCCATTCTGTCTGTCCTAAATTCTCTGTAATATTAAATTCTCCAGGTTTTTTTTTTTCTTTCCATCCTTAAGACTACCACCAGATTCATCTCTCCAGAATAGTCAGGCTCTGTGATGGTGGTGTTACAGTTTTCCTGTTCAAGCTAACAGACTAGACATCTGTCCAGCAGACCTGCTTGCATTTAAGCCAGTGTCACCCTCAACAGTTGTGCAGAGCTGGGCATGCGCTTGATTTCCACCTTCAGCACCATAAGATGGGGGCAGTAAAAGGACCTTGGATCATTAAAACAACTGTAACTCAAAATAGTTATTAGAAAAGGTATCAACATGTAGTAGATTTTTAATAAATATTTTTTGAATGAACTATGTATTCAACCTTGAGATTTTTCATTCATTGTTTTTGTTAATGTAACTCCTTCAAGTTCCATGTTCTTCCTTTCAAACTTCTGCCTTATGTGTCAGAGTATCCCTCCCTTCTCCTACAGCTAGATACTGTGATGTCTCACGTCAATGTCTCACACTTTCATACTGCTTACAACAGCAATGAAAGATAATGTTGACAGCCCTCTCTGTTGCCTGGAAATGGATGCAGGCTCCTGCCTCACTATCTGTGTTACCTTAGTGCAGTCATGTAAGTCCTGTCAATTTGCTAACAAAATAATATTTATGGCAAATGTTTGTATGAAGAAAAGCAATTTCTAGAAAAGACAAACCTTGAGATAGAGAGGGACAGAGTACAGATCCAGACAGGGAGTTAGAATCAACTTCACATTTATCCAGAGGAGTCTTGGGAGAAAAGACAGATGATTTGTACTTTGGCATTTTAGGATCTGGTATTCCTAACACTCCAAAACTCACTGCATGTTAAGTCTATACTCACTTGTCTTAGGGTTTTGGGTTTTTTGTTTGTTTGTTTGTTTGCTGTTTGTTTGTTTTTTATGGCTGTGATGAGATACCATGACCACAGCAAATCTTATAAAGAAAATATGTATCTGGAGTGGCTCACTTCCAGTTCAGAGGTTCAGTCCATTATCATCATGACTAAGATCATGGCGGTGTGCAGGCAGATACTGTACTAAGAGTAACACATCTTGGCCAGAGGCAGCAGGAAGTCAAATGATAGTCACACTGAGGGAAGCTTGAGCAAAAAGAAACCTCAAAGTACACCCCACAGTGACACAATTCTAACACCTCCTAATAGTGCCACTCCCATTGGGGGCCATTTTCTTTCAAACCACCACAGCATTCTTTCCTACAAGAAAGAGTGGATCTTCCCCTAATAAGCTTTTAATGCTATTGAGGAACAGTTTCTCAGGAACCAGAAGGAAAATTTTGGCAGAATTCTCATAGTCCTCCAAATTAAAGACAGAGATGTTGTATGTTGTTGAAAAGTAATAAATAAAACAAAAAAGAACATTTAAGTAGGGCTGATAGAGGCATACAGAGACTGAAGCAGCAGTCATGGAGTCTACATGGGTCCTCTGAATATATGTTATGGTTTTTAGCTTGATATTTTGTGGGACCCCTACCAGTGAGAGTGTCTCTGACTCTTTCATCTGCTCTTGAGACCCTTCTCCTACTGAGCTGCCTCATACAGCCTTGATAGGAGGGCTTGTGCCTAGTGTTGTCTGACCATGTTATGCCATGTTTGGTGAATATTCTGGAGAAGCCTGCTCATTTTTAAAGGAAAATGGAAGAAGAATGGGTCTGGGGGAACAGGGGAGGTGGGGTGAGGCAGAATGGGGGAAATGAAGGGAGGGGAAACTGTGGCTGGGATATATATACGTATATATACATATACGTATATATATAAATTAGAGAGAGATTAGATAGAAAAAGCAAAATAAAAAACTGCCTCCTTATTACTGTCATCCTTTAATTTAACATCTGGAAGTAAAAAGTAATGAATCAACTAATCAGTACTTCTTAGGAAGGAACAAGGCCATATCAATGCTGTAGATGATAAATTATTGCTTAGGAATATCATAGGGCCCTACAATGAAGATATGTTACTTAGGTCTTTCACATAATACTTGTTGTAGTCCAATACTGAGTTCTTTAAAAGTAATGGAATATTTTTGTTTAATATTAAATGCTTTTAAAGAGAGTCCTTCAACTTGAAAGGTCTAGAGATGCAAGGTACTAAAGTTTTCTGTTTCATTAGCAAAAAGGTGCTTATTAATAGTTAAAGGGAACAAATTAAAACAGCTTACCTTCTTAGACATTTCCATAGTAAAGCTAAATCATCAGAAATATGACAGGCAAATGTGTCAAAAAACAAAATAACTTCTCTGTTATTGGACAGTTGAGTGTGTTTTGTTTGTAAATCACTGATATGTATAAAAACAAAGCATCATAAGGAATTTTTCATCTGCCATTGTTCTTTTTCAGGAGGAAAAAGCAGTTGGCTGTGGAGACTTTGGGGTGCTTCAAATAGTCTGCTTTGTTAGTTGAAGTAAAATTTATATTTCTTTCATTGGACACTCAAACTATTCCCTCTATTGTTTATGCAGAGACAGTGACAGGAGTTAGAAAAGATGCATCTACATCTCCTATGCCAACAAGAAGCCGTAAGGACCCCATGACCCCAGCCTCGTCATCATCCCAGCACACCACCTCACGGTGAGCCTAGGAGACCCTTGACTTAGTGTTCCCCTTAGGAGAATGTTTATAAGACTGAAGAAATCTTGAAATTTTTAGTGCTCTTGCTCTGGGGGCACTTATTATAAAGCTGTAGATTTGGCAAATTCATTACAGAGTTCTTTTCTCCATATTCACACTTCCTGAAATGATTATAACAGTTGGCAAGGGTTTTCATAGAAACCTAAAGCATTCTGTCCATAGAAACTCTGCTTAGCAGCAGGTCCTTCTCAACTGATTATGGAAGATAATATATTTGGTCTACAATTTTAGGTGTTAAATTCTGAAAAATCACAGTGGACTTTGTGCTTACGGTATGTTTGTATCCACTTATGCCAGAGACTTTAGAAGAGCTAATAGTTCAACCAGCCTTTTCTGGAGTTAGAGAAAGAAATGTATTATTTTAAACTTCTTACATTAATATAGCGACTCACATTAACATTACACGCTTAAGATTCAATATATAGAAACATCGGTTTCAAAAAGACTTGGTTTATGTTTCCTTGGGGATAAGGTTGATCTGGGGCACTTAAGTCTCTCATATTTTATCACATGCATACATATTTTAAGGCTTTAATTTTTAGTTTAATTGCCTAAATTGTTAATGTCAAGGCTGGTGATTTCAAAGATATACTATGAGTACATATTTTTTGGTTTGTGGTTTGTGGAAGGAAAGAGTTTTAACTCTTTGTTCTCTATAGAGCTATCTTTCATCCAAGTCTCATGTAAGTACAGTGCCTCAGAAGACAAACGTACACATTCTTGAGAAGCAATATTTGTTTGGGTCATATTGGCATGCACTTAATTCTGGGGGCAGAAAGATAACTACACAAAGGACCTGGGAAGTGACTTTGCAGAGGATAGTAAGTTGTGCTGCTGTCTTTTGAATGCTGTGTACCCAGAACTGTGCCACACTGCTTGATGTATCATCTAATTTAGTCCCCACAGCCTGTAGAGATAGGGCTACCCTCATCCCCATTTTAAAATTGGGAAACCCTGACTCAGAAATATTGAGTGTGTTGTGAAAGACCCTGTCTTAGTTTGGTTTTCATTGCTGTGAAGAGACCCCATACCATGACCATGGCAACTCTTATAAAGAAAACCTTCAATTGGGGTATCTTACATAGAGTTTCAGAGGTTCAGTCCATTATCATCATGATGCAGAGCTTGGCAGAATGTAGGCAGATGTGGTGCTGGAGCTGAGACTGCTACATCTTGCATGCAACATGAAGTCAACTGAATGTCTCACTGAGGAAAACATGTCAAAGCCCATCCCCACAGTGACACACTTCCTCCAACAAAGCCACACCTCCTAATAGTGCCACCTGCTTTGGGAGCCATTTTCTTTCAAACCATCAGAGACCCTTAGCTAATAAAAGACAGGGCCAGCATTTCAAAGTCCAAAGCCATTAACTTAAGTAGTAAAATGGCTAACATCATCAGCCTCCCAACTGTAAAGGTGACTAAAGTAATTAGCTTACCCGTATTTTTCCACTGGCCCCTTTCTTGGTTTTGGTGCTGGCATTGTTGGGATTTGATAGAGAAACAAGAGTTGTGATTCTGAAAAGTGGAGAGAGCGTCCTCTGTTTTGTGCTATGCCACACTGTAGGTGAAGCTTGTACTCAGAAGCTTCCCATCCAGCCCACGTGGATTGGTTTGGTTGAGTCAGAAATGGCTGATAGTCTAGATTTTCAATCTCAGTGAATTTTCTTACTGTTAATATTTAAATGGCATATTGTTGGTTAGTTGGAACTAGGGATCAAACTCAGGGCTTTGTACATGGGCAAGCATTCCACCCCTAGCACTAAGATGTGATTTTTAACACAACTTTAATATATTTGTGAAGGGTTAGTTTCAATTTAAAGGGAAGCATAAAAAATAGGAATATAATGTTTCTCTGTAAGGGTTTTGTAAAAAAAAAAAAAAATTCTCAGCATATATTTTCTAAATGGACCATATAAGCATGATTAGTATGTTACAAACCCTGATTAAAATTATATTTACAGATGTTACAAAAAGGATAATTCATCTCCTGGTCCTTAATACTGCTGATCAGCTAAATATAAATGCTCGGGGGCTTTGTAAATAATACGCAATAGGCTGACTAAAAGAAGGTGTACCACACCAGATCCGATCTTTCCAGGAGTGCACAGTCGCCTGTCATTGGTGTATTTTTACAAAGTGCAGAGTTGAAAACGATTTGGTGCTTTGAAAGCCAGCTACCAGGACAGCACAGTGGTGCAGAGTATTTGAATCATTCACATATCAAAGTGTGCACTGGTCATTTTAATAGACTTCATTTTCATTACGCTAACTCTGATTCTTCCTCCCATAAGTCTTTAAAGAGAATAGATTCTAAGCCTTATGTGCCAAAAGTGTTTAAGGTTTATGAAAGGCTTGCAAAAGATGATGGCATATTTCAGTACTGGGGGAGATACATTTTTCCTTTGTTCTTGGAAAACACCTAAAAGTATCCCATATCATTCCATGTACAAGCAAACAGTCATGGCAGAGTCATGGTTCCCATTCCTGATATAGGTTTTTAATTGTTGTCTCTGCTAGCTGTCAATATAAAAGTGAAATTTTCATTCCCCATTCAAGATGGGGAAAGTTTGTGGCTGAAAATGTTAACATTTGCATTTTTATTTGTTGATTTATTTAAAGGACAGCCTCTCCTATAGCAATCCATCACTTAGTGACACCCCAAATATGAATAATGTATTGTAGACTTGCGGTTACAGTGTGTAATAAGTGCTTGAGACAGTAAAAGAATGTTAACTATGTTGCAAATGTAATATTTATCAACTCATAAAGTTTATTGCTTTTGAGGTTCAATAATACTGACCATGGGACATTAATATCACTTATCTTGATTTTAGCTGGGCAACTTTTATGTAGAAATATTCAAGTATCTCATGCTAACAAAATAAATATGTAATTTACAGCACAAGCCAAAAAAAAAAAAGCATTATAACCTTCCCTGCTGGAAGCCATCTTACCTGTGACTCATCATGCACCCCTTAGCTATCAGGTATGGTAAGGACAGTGGCTATCTTGGTCCAAGAGGAATGTGGTACTAAACAAGATGATACTGTTCCGTTCTGCTTAGTAAGAACAGGTGGTCCTGCACAGACCAGTCCACCTGGAGGGACTTTGTTCCCCTCTCATTGTGAGTGCCATACAAGTATGTGGACCTCAGCTCCATAAGAAAGCTGGGGATGTTCTCTATTGTTCTGAAACTGGATCACTTGATTCTCTTTTATCCATCATGAAGCCAGAGATGGGCAGGTTACTCTTTGCTTCTCAAACAAATTGTTAGGAACACAAATACTACTTTTTAAATAACACAAATATACCCTTGTTCACCCTCCCAAACTGGGTATGTCCACTGCCAACAACAAAAAATAAAAGAAGTTTCTAACCACCAAATCCAAGGAAGTTGTTTATTAACCAACATCAGCTGTAATTGGTATGCACTCCATTAAGGTGGAGAATTATGTGTTTCTTCGCTGTAAATAACCTTTCTGATTATATAATTCCATTAAGCAGATTCTTGCATTAATGTAGCTTTGGATGTCAAATCTTTTATAAGGAGCCATACTAAGAGATACAGTGTTACACTGCTGTATACCTTTTCAGGTGACATGGTGCATTTCATATTGAAACAAAGGGCGTGCCTTCTGTGCTTCCTCACAGCAGCAGAAATGTCACTTTTTGACAATAGTGATGGAGTTTCTATTTCTCAGTTTTTTGACAACACAGACCAGCTCCAGTCCCAGGACTGCAGGATTAGTCCACAGTCTCTGAAGTACAAGGCCAGTGAGTCACTTCTCTGCCCTTCTGTGGCTCATTAAATATTAGGGCACTTACCCTTGTATATCTGTTTTCAGGTGGCTTGTAGAGAAAGGCAATCCCTATACATCATGCCCAGCAAAAATTTGTGCAACTAAAGCTAGAGTCATCTCTTTCTAAAAATACTATCTGTCTCTGTCTTGTTTTGACTATTTCTTTTCATAACAATTTGGATTCTTTTAATTTATTATAATTTTTATATCTCTACCGCAGTTTTCCCTCCCTCCTCTCCTCCCAACTCCTCCCCATACATCTACTATGTGTCCCCCACACCCATTCTTCCTTTTCTATTCAGAAAAGGACAGGTTTTACATGGGCATCAACAAAACATGGCATATAAAGTTGCAGTAATATTAAGCACCTCCCTTGTATGAAGGGTGAACAATATGAAGAGTAGGGTTCCAAAAGCCAGGGAAAGTCGGAGAGGCCTCTGCTCCCACTGTTGTGAATCCCACAAGATGACTAAGCTACAACTGTCACATATATGCGGGGGCCTTGGTCCATCCCATGCAGGCTCCCTGGTTGACAGTTCACCCTCTCTGGGACCCAGTGAGTCCTTGTTAGTTGATTCTTGAAGTTTTCATCTGGTGTTCTTTACCCCTCTGGCTCCTATAGTACTTCCTCTCTCTCTTCAGCAGGATCCCCAAGCTGGACCTGTGTTTGGTTGTGAGTCTCTGCATCTGTTTCCATCAGTTGCTGGATGAAGCCTCTCTGTTGAAAATTGGGCTAGGCACCTATCATTGAGTATAGCAGAATATCAATAAGCATCATTACATTGACTTTGTTATTGTTGTTAGTCATGTTTGGTTCTATCCTAGGTCTCTGACCCATCCAGGCTCTGGTCCTGACACTCCAGGCATTTCTACCAAAATCCTCACTATAATTTTTTTAGTCATGCTTTATTTTTATTTGCACATTTACATAAATATTCTTAAGTATTCAACATGATTTTTTTCAAAAGTTTAGCAGAAGAAGTGGTTCTGTGCTATTCACTTGTATGATCACACAATATATATTATTGTAAAAATTTTTAAATACTTAGTTTCAAAATATTACATTCTGAAATATTCCTTTTTAGTCTTTTCAAAATAATTTTCTTAAAATGTGAGCATGGAGCCAAGAACTATCTGCCTGTTTCCAGTGT